CCTCACTACTTATTTCTAACATGTGCCACTTTCAAAGAAGGAAAGCTTTCATGTTCCTTTTTGCCTATCCCTTTCTGTGCTGGGACTACATACACCTCCTTGAAGTTAGTCAGTGAACTCAATTCTTACAAAGGTCTTTCTTCATTTGTAAATTTGCAATAAAATCCAGAGAAGTCAGAGGTCACTCATTCACTGTTCTATATTCCTTCTCGCTGACCAGTTATGACCCAGCCTTGAAGCAATTGCAGGACCTTCTTTCCAGCAGTGGGCAGCAGAAGATGGATGGATTTAGTGTTCAATGCAACTCTCAACTGCATAGTGTAAGACAAGCCTTAGCTACAAGAGACATTGCTCTAAATAGAAATAAAAATCAACAGAACTTGAGAAAAATGGAGAAGAAAATTCTAAGGACCTAGAAACAAAAGGGAATAGAAAGAAATAAGAGATTATTTAAAGATGCATTTAAAGAAAATCAAATTTAAAAATCAAAACAATGGAGACTCCTGTAGCTGTTTATCTACACTGTTTCCCCTATGGTGTATACAAGTAAACATTCCTCCTATTCTGGTCTGAAGGAAGAAACCATGCTCCATACACAAATCTTCTTCTTGCTGCTGAAATGTACCACTGACTACATGACTCAAATTTATGATTTTACAACTCAATGGTGGTTGGGTTTCTTAATCTAAAAAAATTAGTTGGTTTAATCACAAGAACAAGGTCATTGCCCTGGGGAGCAATAGAGTGGGATCAAGGCTGCATGATCCAACATAAGAAAATTTGTCTCAGAAACATTTTTCTTCAAGGCTGGAGGCACTGCTGTTCTAGAATTAATATGTCTTCTGAGGGATAAATCATTCCACACACTCAGTAGTTTAATAAACAAAAATCTTTTTAATAACAGCATGCATCTAGTGTTGGTTAATGTTAAAAGAGGAGCCTGCCTGGCACAGATTTTGCATTCTACATATATAGCATCCTTAAGTATCTTTTAAGTTCAAGCCCAAGGTTATATTTTGAACAATTTAAATAGGGACAGGAGAAGGCATGTCTAGCCACTTAGGCAGATGTAGATTTCCAGAGCAAAGCTATCTTTCTGATCATGCATTATGATCTAACTATATCATAATACATGGTTTAAAACATAAATAGATCATAATGTATGATCTAAAAGACACTATATCAATGCCACAGTCCTACATATACAAAGGAAATAGAACACAATTAAAAAAAATGGGAAAGCCACCTATCCTCAATGTTAAAGATGTTCTTAAATGAACAGTTGTTCTGAGTTATTCTAACCTCAAAATAAGCCTTCCCTGACTGCTGTCTGTCTCATGACAGTGAAGTTACTGTATAGAATTTCATTCTTTAAGCTTTATTTTATATATATATATATATATGTGTGTGTGTGTGTGTGTGTGTGTGTGTGTGTGTTTGCCCACATGTGTAAAGTACCCACAGAGGTCAGAAGGAATCAGATCCCTTGGAACCTGAGTTACAGGAGATGGTGAGCAACCATGGTTTCTAGCAACCTAACCTGTGTCCTCTTCAACAACACCCATTGCTCTTAATTGTGAAGCTATTTTTAAAAATTTATTTTTAAACATTTTAATTAAAATGTATTATATGACTTTCAACTTTCCATGTCCTCTCTCCATTCCTTTCCAAATTCTTCCCTTCCAATTCATTTCTTGTTAAGTATATGTGAATAAGTATGTGCACATAAATGAATAAAATCTGGGTCTGTTTCTATTGGTCATATGTTATGGTTTGAGGACAAAAGATGCTGCTTTGGATACATAAATAGGGAGCGCATGCCTGCCTGAGGATAACACACACTTGCAGGAGAAGTTTACTCTTTATTGAGCAACTTGAGTCTGACCCTAGGCTGCCTTCAACAGAAAATATTATCAAGAATAGGAAACATTGAGTGGTAAATAACTAAGCCAACACTTGCTAGTGCCATGTCCTTGAAGTTCAAGAGCTGCAGGGAAGACTATGAACACAGTCCTGAGTCAATCACAGTCCCCATAGGTTCCATGGACCTCCTACCATATATACCCCATTGATCCTTTTCACCTTGATTGACTTTGAAATTCTGAAATTCCTCCATCCACTTCCTAAGTATCATGGTTACAGGCTAGTGGCACTATGCCTTAGTTGTCATCAACTTCATCTAGTGAGTCATTAGAATGTTGGGATGACTAAGATGAGCAGTTACACTTAAGTATATTTAAAAAAATCACTTATCTCTGTGTGCCTGGGTTTCACCATCTGTAAAATAAGAAAGTCCTCTACTCTTGTCCCTTGATGAATTATAGTAGAGTCAAAGATAAAGAAACACAATATTGTTCATAGTCTGAAGTCAGTGGACTTTATAAAATGAGGCAATTCTCTGGCATATATTTGTGGTCCTAAGAAAGTGTTATAATTGTTTAGTCCCCAGAATGAACAAATAAAAGAATGTATGATAGTGTACATATTTTATATAAAAAGAGAACTTATTATTCAAATTATCCCATGTTCCTATTCTCTTTGTATGAAATTATGTTTACAGTCTGAAAGGAAGATAATAGTTTACTGTTGTAATGTTTCTTCTAATCATATTTGAGCACCAATGAGACAGCTCAGTGGGAAAGGTCTGTGGTGTACAAGGCTAGAAAACCTAACCTCAATCCCCTTAGAAAATCAAGCTATGGTAGTAAATACAGAGTTGTTTGCCAATTGTCCTAATTTATTACATATCTACCAGATAAATGAGAATGCTTCTTTAAATACACACGTGAAGTATTTACTGTTTCTTATAATTTCTTCTATTAAGCATTTTAACATTAACATTTTTAAATTGTGTTGACAAAACAACACACATTCGGAGTGCATCATCCACCCTTGCACTTGTACTCAGGAGGGGTACACAGGAGCATCATGAGTTCTAATGTATCCCTGAATCATTACTGACACCCAAGTCAGGATGAATAACAAACAACAAAAATCTCAAGGAAAACTGTGAAAATATGAAAAACAAAACCAAGAACAGCAACCTACCACCCTTTCACAGACACCCTTACTTGAAAAGTATGATCACACATTGTCTGATATTTAAATAACCAATGAATGCTTAGATGATGGGGATACCATTCTACACATACCAGCTGAAAAATACCTATCACTGGTTAAAAGCACAATAGAAGATAAACAAAAACCACAGAAGGAAATAATGACCACAAAATAAACTTCACTAAATGGATTTGCCACACATATAGCACACTTTAGTATCTACCTCAAATGTTTCAAGATAGAAACCATAATTCAGTGTTCTTCAACATCAGTCTTGAGTGAACATGGCAAGTAATTTACTTCCTTCAAGGCTATGATGAAAAATAATTTTGTACTTGAATCTGAACACAACTATGATGTCTAAAGTCTTTAGAAAATTGTTTATATAAATAGGGTTTTTCTCTGTATGAATTTGTCCCTATTTGGAGACCTTAAAATTATATAAATAACCTAGAAAGTATTTACAATGCTAGATACATGGCTGGGGGTTTAAGAAATGCTCATTCCCAGGACCAAGGTCACATTTTTACAACTTCCTGTAATTCCTGTTACAAGAAGATCCAAGGAACCAATGTTCTCACAATATATAGAATGCACACTCACACACCCACACAAACACAAACTGACATCACATAGCTACAATTAAAACAACCCTTTAAACAATTTTTCACTCATGAACATTTTTCTCTTGTAAGCATTCATTCCTGTTAACACAGGAGTTGAGACATCTAACCGCTTACTTACAGAGTTTTCTTCACCATGAATTCGGTCACGTAAACAGAAAGCAAACACTTAGGCTTGAAGTCGGACAAATTAATCCTCCTAAGTAGGTGGTACCACTAGATTTAGGAAATGCTGCTCTGCTAGAGACAATATGCCACTGGGGATAAGCTTTGAGAATTTACACCCACACACCATTTGCAGTTCCCACTCTCTGCTTCATGCTGCAATTTAAGGACGTGAGTTTTTAAGCTCCTGCTTTAGCTGCCATGTCTGACACTTGTTGCTATGCCACTTTCATGGTGATCCTATATCCCTCTGCAACCAAGGGCCAAAATAAATGCTTTTATAAGTACACACAGACATTATATCACAACAGAAAAGGAACAAGTACACATCCATAAAGTTACCACTTGAATTTGTTATTTCATACAATTGAAGAGAAGCATAAAATCTAAAAGGGTTACATTATCATTTAAATTCATAGGGCAAGTGTTACAGCTCTAGAAGGAAAGGTACGCTGACTATCTCGTATCAGGCTATACCTACACCTATGAAGGAAAGGTATCCTGGATACCTATACCTGTGAGTAGAAAAGAATCCTGTCTGTCAGGAAGTCAGACTATACCTGAAGTTGTGCTACAGTGGGGAATGATCTCCCTGCTGGATATAACAGTCCTGTTGCTCTCTAAGAGTGATCTCTTTATCCTACATACACATAAGGCTTCATATAATTTATAAATTCAGTTTTGTTCATGACTTAGCTGGTGCAATCAATATGAAAACAGACATCATAATGCTTGAACAGATTGTTGACACTGTCATTTTTTTCTATAGAATAAATACTGTTGGTTATCTGATTGTAAAGATTGTAAAGATCTTACCAAATAATTTGTAAGAAGAAGACTTTACTTTTTTTTCAGGTACTCAAAGATTATTGCAATATGCAAAAGTTTTATTAGGTTGATTATACACAAAAAGTTTTACTCCTGTATAAAGTACAAAACATTACCACATTAACAATATTTATAGTCTCACTGCAGCATGACTTTTCTGATGTTTTTGAAGACTACACTGATTAAATTCATAGGGTTTCTCTCCAGTATGGGTTCTCCTATGCATTCAGAGATAATTGTGACATCCAAAGGCTTTACCACACTAATTCCATTCTCGGGTTTCTCTCCAATGTATTCTTTTATGCATTTGAAGATGAAAAAGACACGAAACAGATTTACCACATTGATTACATTCATACAGTTTCTCTCCAGTATGCGTTCTTTTATGCCTTTGAAGAGTAGTGTGATAAGCAAAGGCTTTACCACACTGATGACATTTATAGGGTTTCTCTCCAGTGTGTGTTCTTTTATGCATTTGAAGAGTACTGTGATGAGCAAAGGCTTTACAACACTGATTGCATTCATAGGGTTTCTCTCCAGTATGTGTTCTTTTATGCCTTTGAAGATGACTATGGCATGCAAAGCCCTTACCACACTGACTACATTCATAGGGTTTCTCTCCAGTATGTGTTCTTTTATGCCTTTGAAGACTACTTTGACATGCAAAGGCTTTACCACACTGATTACATTCATAAGGTTTCTCTCCAGTATGGGTTCTTTTATGCATTTGAAGACTACTTTGGCATGTAAATGTTTTACCACATTGATCACAGTCATAGGGTTTCTCTCCAGTATGTGTTCTTTTATGCCGTTGAAGACTACTTTGACATGCAAAGGCTTTACCACACTGATTACATTCATAGGGTTTCTCACCAGTATGGGTTCTTTTATGCAATTGAAGAGTGCTGTGTTGAGTAAAGGCTTTACCACATTGCTTGCATTCATAGGGTTTCTCTCCAGTGTGTGTTCTTTTGTGGATTTGAAGAGTGTTGCAATGAGCAAAGGCTTTACCACACTGATTACAGTCATAGGGTTTCTCTCCAGTATGTGTTCTTTTATGCCTTTGAACAAGACTGTAACGTGCAAAGGCTTTACCACATTGATTACATTCATAAGGTTTCTCTCCAGTACATGTTCTTGCATTTCTTTGAAGGTGACTGCCATATGCAAAGGCTTTAATACATTGAGTATATACAGAAAGTTTCTCTCCAATTTCATTTCTTTCATGCCTGCAACAATAATTAGCACATATAAAAGCTTTACCACATTCAATACACTGCTGAATCTTCATATCTATGTGAAGTTTACTATTTTCTCAATTATAAAGAGGGATCAGATATTAAGGTTTTATTGCTGTGTTTAGACGCATGTTGTGTCCTCTAGTTAAGTGTCATTTTGCATCTTTGAAGACACCTGTGATGGTAAATTCCTTTATTTCATGGTTCACTTTACAGAAACTTTTATTCTATGATGTTTTCCACATATTTAAAAAGAACTAGATAAAGTTAGAGCTTTACCACCTTTACTGCATTCATAAATTTTCCTATACTGTGAATGATATTACATTTGCTAAATGAACTAGAACTACTAGAGTATTTACACAGTCCTAGAACTCATAGGGTTTTTCTGCAGTGTAAGTTTGTTGGTGTATTAACAGTGATGGTGGAGATCCAATTACTTGAATACTTGAATCAAATTCGGCAGGTATACTCAACATGGGGACTACATATCTTATAATTGTTCTGAGAGAGAGGCATGTTACATTTTTTTCATATCCCTATGCTCATATGCTTCTATCAAGAGTAACATATGGTATACGTAGTAAAAGAAGAACAACAAATAAAAGATTTCCCCATTGAATTCTCACAGATTGACTTTCTATTCCTCTTGGGCTTTTGATATAGGAATTGAAGTTTACCCACAACAATTGTCCTTTGACTCTTGATTTGAACTGCACCTCTCACTAAACTTAGCACAGAAAAAAGTATATGAGTAATACAAGCTTTACTATGGACTATTGGCTTATTAGAAGGTTAAGGAGTAATACTTATCACCTCCTCAATAATATGAGTAGCATGAAATAAATGGATTGGCAGGTCTACAGTATAATTCTCATGCTACTATGATTCAAAAGGTATTATTTGTTAAGGTGGTGTTTCCTTGTCCTCTTTCTTAAAAGAATGCCTTTGAAATGTAACTTACCTACCTGAAATTGAGAGGTACTGTTCCAGGAGAATGTAATAATCATCAATGCACTTTAAGCTGTGCTTATTTATGCTACTGCCTTTGTTTAAAACTTCCAGGACACATAACAAAATCATCAGAGGCACATTTGTAGCAACTTGCACATGAAAATTACCTGTTATATCTTCTAGAACTTTGACAATGTTCTTCAATATTATGGTCTTCCCAATGGTATCCTAAAATATAGTATCATAAAATGCATATATTATTGAACATCCTGCAAAATTCAAGTTACTATCTCTATTGAATCTTAGAACCGTGGCTGACTTATTCATCTCATTCTTCTTCTTTCTCACTCAACAAAAGAGCATCAATAACCAAGGAACAGTTGTCCCTTTATTTGGAAACATGAAGGAAAATTCACTTTTTACCTATAGCAGTGAGGTTCTTATAGGTCTCCAGCATCACATCTTTGTAGAGATTCTTCTGGGAAGGATCCAGCAAATTCCACTCTTCCCAAGAAAAGTTGATATGTACATCATCATAGGTCACTGCATTCTAAAATATCCCATACATGTGTACATCAGAAAGTGTGATACTGACAATACTGTAGATGTTTACTTCTTTGCAGTACAGTCATATAATTCTAGTGTTCCCCACTCTCATTCCATGACATAAGTATTATAGTGAATCATCAAGTCACTTTACAAGGAAACTGAATAAGAGGTTCAACTCTGTCATTTCTGTATCCTTTGAATGGGATAACACCCACTCTTGAAAGAGAAATGTCTATTAACAAACAGAGAGAGACAAGTAACCAGATCAACAGTATAGCGTACACATGAGAAAATTTCTATGAAGAATTACTAAAAAACTACAAAAGAGAAAAATAAGCCTTTAACCACAGCACTAAGAAGGCAGAGGCAGGTATATCTGCCTCTGAGTTGAATGCCAGCAAAGTCTATGCAATCAAGTCCAGGGCATGCAGAAGTACATATTAAGACCATGTTTTCACTGCAAAAATCAGTCAAACAAATAAAAAAGAGAAAGAATTCAGAGGTTTTTAACTGAAGAGCCTACAAAGAGGTATGCATTCACTCCAGTTCTGTATTCACCTTCTGGAAACCTGAATTGCCCTAATTTAAATTGTAACAGCAATAAAATTTGACAAAAAGGCACTTCATGTTTAAGAAGTTACAAATAGTCAGATGAAAACACTAGCAATATAAATGTTTGTCATAAATATTAAACACAGGGCTGGGGAGATAGCTCAGTAGTGACGAGTTCTTGCTGGTCTTGCATATAGGTGGGCACAATTGCCAGTACTTACATGGGGATCACAACTATCCATTATTCCAAGTTCAGGATTTCTGAGATCACTGTGAGGACCAGGTACCCACGTGGTGCATATCCATACAGGCAGTTAAAATAGCCATATTGATTGAAAAAAAATCAAACAAACACAACAAGCAAGGAGTTCATGTACCTGTAATCCAATGACTCAGAATATTCAAGCACTATTAATGTCATAAATACATGCCATCCTGAGAATCAGAATGATACCCTCTGCTCAATTTTAAAATCCAAGATGTTTGTGAAGCTCAGCAGAGCAGCATATGCCTGACATGTGAAAAACCTATATTCCAGGGCCCTCACCCAATAATATCAAAACAAATAAAGCCAGAAATGTTGGTCCACCTTTACTTTCAGGACTTTGGAGTCAAACTCAGAGAGACCTCTGAGTATGAGGTCAGCCTGGTATACAAAGCTATGTTCAGGATAGTCAGGGCTACACAGACAAACCTTGCCTTGAAAACACAAACAAAAAAATAAAACAGCAGGCTACCAATTGCCTTAGCACTTTATAACAACTGTTTGTACTATATTTGATTTGATGTAGAGATGGAGTCTACAATGGTGGGGAAGACATGACAGCATGAGAATGAAGATAGCTGATTATTTTCAACCACAACACAGTAAATATGAGTTGTGGGAGCACATTCTGCTCCTTTAGCCAATAGCCTTTAAGGTACCAGAACACTTGGGCATGGTCTTTTACACTGTAAAAGCAGCTATAAACGTGCACCTGCTCTCTTGTTTCCAGCTCCCGCTTCAGGCTGCTAGACTCTGTTCCTGCTTGCACAGAGGGCTGTTTTCCCATTAAATAAATAACCCTTTTACTATTCATAATTCTGAACCGGTGTGGGATTGTTTCGTGACTTACGCCTTCAGCTGGCACCAGACCATTTGGTTTTAGAGCACCCCCAGCTCTGCTGATGCCGCCAGCTTGGGGTGCACCCAGCTTGGTGCAAGACCTCCCTCAGCTGGCCGTGGCCTGTGCATGGAGCCAGCAATTTATCTGGATATAGAATTTTCCCAAAGTGGTAGCTTTTCTTGCTACATATCGGCCATAGTTCTTTATATTATATTATTACTTGCCTCAGAGTGGCATCCAGTCCCCATGCTCTTGCTCCAGTGTCTGTGTGCGACCACCACACACTGCAGGGAAATTCAGATGGGATACAAGTTTGCTGGGTGCCTGCTATTATCTTATTATCCCTGTCCTGTTGCGACTGCTAACCCATTAGGACCAATCATGGTGCACATAGTCTGTGATTTTTTATTAAATAACTAATTATTGATCAAAGCATATCCTTCAGCATTTCACACTAAAATCAGATTGAGACTAGTTACATGATTCCAGGTGTACTGCTGGATCCAGCTGAGTTTGTTTCATAGGGGGCTTATAACACCTACTGGCAGGTAATGGTTATTGTACCTAATCCAGCTAATTAAACCACAGGTAAGATTTAATATCCAAAATATAAATTATAAGTTATTAATTTAAAAGGTCAATAAGTCAGACAACCTAACCATCCAAGGTTTCAACAGCCTCTTTACTTATACCATGTGCAAGGTTTTACAAGAGTTGTATGATTTCCCTTCTGCATCACTATTTTTGATTCTAGGGATTAGTCTTGTCCTCAATATTTTTTTCTTAAAAGTATGGTTTGACCATAGGGCTAAGAATGAGGCGTTTTTAGAAATGGTACAGTCTTTACAGACTGATACAAGGCTCCTCAAAAAAAGAGGTTGGAAATCTGAAGAAGGATATGGCCAATTTAACTAACAAAACTCAGTCAACTGAAGTACTTTTAGAAATGGTACAGACTGATATTAATTTATTTAAAGGAAGATTCACCACTCTGGAGAAGGATACAGCTGATTTGGCTCATAAAACATAAACCTAATCAATGACAGTGGTTTCTGAAACATTATTTGAGAGAAATCGCACTGTTGAAAGTATTAATCAGACTCTGTCAAAGGGGTATGACAGATTGACTGATAGAATGTCTCTCCAGGAAGGCAATCTGCATGCTATAAAGATTATGTCCAATGATGAGACATTATCTCTACTGGACAGACTTCATAACTTTGAATCCTCAATGAGGGCATTAGAGCAGAGCACTGGACAGGAGATCCAGACATTAAAAAAGGCAGTGGTAAACAGATTTGAAAAGAATGAGGAAATTATCAAATTTGATGACCAGAAACAAAAGGTAAAAAGGCGAAATTTAACCTCTTCGGTACCTACAAATCTCCAGGATAGCTTCCCAGAGTTCTGCCTGCCTTCCCAGTAATAACATCAGAAAAAGTATTTGACCCCAAGAAACATAAGGTTGCCAAAGAATATTCATGGGACTCCATATGTATGACTGATCTAAAGGAAATTAAACAAACAATTGTAACTTATAAACTTTCTTAGGGAAATGGTCAAAACATAGTCTTTCAGTATCAAAGCAACACCTCCAGATTGGATTCAGTTAATCTCAGCAGTGCTAGAAAGTGGATTGCAATTAAAAAGTGGAGATACTTCTTGAGGAGGCAAGAATTTTAGAGCAACAAGAAAAAGCAAAAGGACTTGAGATTTCCCTAGATCAAATTCTAGGTGAAGGACTTTACTCTGATCCTAAGGATCTTTATGATGACCACACCTTGTCCCTATGTAGCACAGCAGTTTTAGAGGGTTGGGACAGGGTCCAGGAACTAAGAAAGAGAGTTGAATCATATCTTAGGGTTAAACAGGGTCAGAGAGAACCTTTTAGTGACTTTTTGCAAAGACTAGCTAGGCCTGTACAAATAGGGGTAACTGACCCAAAAGCTAGATGTATAATTTGAATCTTTGACTTATGAGAATGCCAACATAGAATTCAAAAGTTTCCTTGGGCCTTTAGAGATAAGATCAACACCCATAGATGAATGGGTCTTGCACACAATGAACGTCGAGACACTTGAGTATGTGTCCTGAAGTTTGGGTAGGAAAAGCAATTTCCAATGGTAAGAGAAGACATCAAAATACCAAATGTATTAATTGTGGTAGAATGGGACATCTGAGAAGGGATTGTAGAGAAAAGATGCTTAGGAATAATGTATCCTCTGCAAATGGCAGAAAGAGGAGGACTCAACCTTCAGGTATATGTAAGAGGTTTGGTAAAGGCCGACATTGAACCAATGAATCAACCCAATACCAATAGGAAATGTCATGGTGGGCCTCTTGCAGGCCCCCAAGACAAATGTGGTCCAGTCATTATCAGTTACTGTGGAGAATGTGTCTCGCCAGGCAAATTAAAAAATCCAATGCCTACTGTTAACAATACTGGTCTGAATGATGGGTTAAATGTGGAAGATGAATAAAAAAACTCCAGTAGGACAGAGGAAACATATTCTGGCAGATTTCTATAAATGATCAAAGACCAAAGCTAAGAGTGTGTATGAATGGCATTTTTACTAAAGGCTTACTAGACATGGGTGTGAATGTAAGTACCATTACTCCAGATCTTGGAATCTGAATTGGCCTCTTCAAGAGGTAGATGTTCAGTTCCTGGGAATTGGAACACTACCTCAGGTAAAACAAAGCATGAGATGGGTTGAATGCATAGGACCAGATGAACAAATAGGAAGACTGAGGCCATATATTGCCAATAGTGCAGTGAATGTGGGGTCGTGCATAATGCAGCAATGGAATACCCAGATCAACATTCCTGCAGCCCCAAAAACTTATGTTTCTGAAGAAAATATTAGAAGATATTATAGGCAATGGACACCAGCCATTGGGCTGTACAAGAACACAAAGCAATTGATAAACGTTCACAGATACCAACAGCCCTACCTTTAAAATGGTTAACTGAAAAACCAATATGGGTTAAGCAGTGGCCTCTAGCTGAAGAAAAGTGGCAGGCTTTGGAACAGCTGGTACAAGAGCAACTAGATGTTTATCATATTGAAGAATCAACCAGCCCTTGGAATTCTCATATATTTGTTGTTAAAAAGAAATCTGGAAAATGGAGAATGGTGACAGATCTAAGGGCTATCAACAAGATTATTCAACCTATAGGCCCTCTACAATCTGGAATTCCTCTGCCTTGTCTGTTACCAAAAGGATGGCCTCTCATAGTTACTGATTTAAAGGATTGTTTCTTCATTATACCTTTACAAGAAAAAGATAGAGAAAAAGTTTGCCTTCACAGTGCCTACTTATAATAATTCTCAGCCTACTA